CTCGTCCTCGACCTGGCCCTCACCTCATCGGCTTCCTTTTCCTTCTCCTCCTCTTTCTTGTCGTGGTCGTGGTGGTTCTTGTCGTCGTCGTCCTCCTCCTCCTCCTGTTCTTCCTCCTCCTCCTCCTCCTCCTCCACCTCCTCTGGCCCCCATGCGGGCCCCAGGGATGGCCCGACGCCTCCAAAGCCACGCCCTTGCTTCCGGGGATCTCTCTGTTCACTCTGGCTTCCCGCTTTGGTTCCCTGTCTGTCGTTTCGTCAGTTTTCCCGTAATCTCTCATGGGCAAGGTTTCTGAATGTGCTGGTGGGGATACTCTTTGGTCAACAGGCTCGCGAGGCGGGTCGAAAGCCGTCCGAGCTGGTGGGGATACTTTTTCATCTTTTTTTTTACAGCCGCGGGCGGAAGCGCCAGCGGCGGCGGGTAACGGTCGGGCTCTGGTGGGGATACGCGAAGCGTAAAGAGCTTGGAGGACGTCCAGGGCCCAAACCAGGCACACTTACACACACACGCTCACCACACACACCACGCTCCGTCGCTCGCCCACTCCCCCGTGCGTGGGTTGGCGGAACCGCTCAACTTTCGACGATCGGCGGCGTTTTGATCGCCGGATCGTTCCACACTGGCCTGCTGCTGGGCCACCGGCCGCGTCCCACCTTGAACGCCCGCGCTGGCGTCGCAGCAGCACGAAAGCCTACCGTACACGGGTCTGTTCTCGAATCTGAAGGTAGCAGGTACGTGCTGGACCTCAAAACACCGCGGAATCTATTTATCTGACAATTTACAGACTTATACATGCATGTCTGTATTATGCACGTAAAATTATATGTATATGTCTACAACAATAACAACTTGCAACCTGAAGTCTGGTTCGAAAAAGGATCTATTGAGTTGAAAGAAGTCAAATCTGAACGCACACACACAGACACACAGCTGGATTGCCTTTTTCATATTTCGCACGCCCCCCCGTTCCAACATGCGGCCCGACCGCGAAAGTTGCTACTATGCCACACCCACGCGCAATACATGGCCAGCCTGGCACACCGCAGCTGCAGCCCGATTAGATTATGCGATCGACGGCAAGCGTCAGGACGGGCAAATAAAAAAACCACAAATATACAAAAGACAGAGCACACATGGTCAACAAAATAGTCTCCAGGCTATTTCTAACTGTTTCTGAATATTCCCATTGTATGGGGACATGCCCGGAGTAAGGCAAGCGATGGCCCGACCGCGGGCTGCCACTATTGTTTGTCGCCACGCCCCACGCAAATGTCCCATAGCCAGCCTGGCTCACCGAGCAGACTATGTGATTGACGGAGCGATTCGAACTTCCACTTTTCGGGCACTCGACAAACGCCAGAAACCAGAAGTCTCGTCGTCGATGGGACCACTCGAATCCTGTAACCTCGGAAATCGCCTACTGTGAGGTCAGCCCTTCTCTTCCGCCGACTTCTGCCGCATCCGCCAGCAAATCCGCCGCCCTCAGCTCACCCCAGCCAGCTTTCCACAAGGCCCTTCCCTGAAACCCCCTCCTGACCGCAGAAGGCGTCTGCGCCCTTACAATCATGCATGGTGGTCATCTGTGGGGACCTTTTGCGGCCCTCGATCTTCCCAGAGGGATCGTCCCGCTGACCCATCTCCCGAGCAGCGTCTTGGCTAGAACTTCGACGCGGATCCAACCGTGGCGACCAGGGACGTTCCGCAAGCCCCAACACGGCGACGGGCGTCAAGAGGCCGGGGCCACGCGAGCGCGACGCCGCAGCGCAGCGCGAGCTCGGGGCGCGCCAGAGGAGGAGGAGGAGGAGGAGGAGGAGGAGGAGGAGGAGGAGGAGGAGGAGGAGGAGGAGGAGGAGGAGGTAGGCAGGCAGGAGGGACGCCGACGAGGCCCCTGCCCACCCTCCGTGGGGACGGGTGGGCACATGCGCCGGGGGCAGCGCAGGACTAGAGCGGAGTACGCGGACTCCTGCTACGAGCAGGCCCCGCGCCCACATGCGCGTGCAGGCCGCTCTACCTCGTCGACGCCGCCGGGAGAGGGGGTTTGGGGCCCTACGAGGGAGGAGAGCCGGCGGCCGCGGCTCGGGCCAACCACGGCGGGTCGCCCCGCCGCGGCCCCCGTCCCGCCCCTGCTGCCCAGGGCGCAAGGCCTAGAAACTCCGTCTCCTCCTCCCCCTCACACTCGCTTCCTCTCTCCTCCTCCTCCCCCTCTCCTCCTCCCCCTCCTCCTCCTCCTCCTCCTCCTCCTCCTCCTCCTCCTCCTCCTCCCCCTCCTCCTTCTCCTCCCCCTCCTCCTCCCCCTCCCCGGTCGAGCTCGCGGCCCGCACCTCGGCCCTCGCCGCGGCGCGGTCGTCCCCCGGGGCCGCGGGCGCCAGAGGCCAGAGGAGAGGCTTCTCGCCGCGTGGGCCCGGGAGCTCTCTCGACTCGGGCGCTCGTGGACGGGAGGGGGGCGGAAGCACGCCGAATTCCAGCGCCCGTTCCGGCCCGCGGCGGCAGTGAGTGGGTGGCCCTCGGCGATCAGTCCCTCCCCCCGCCCTTTTCCCCCCCTTCCACCGTTCTTGCCCCCCTCTGACGACCGGCCCCAGTGGCCCCCCCGCCCCCCCCTCGCATCCCCCTCCTCCCCCCTGTGGGCGGCGACGGAGGGTCGGCAGGAACGGTCGGGCGGAACGACACGAACGACCCGGTGGCCGCATGTGGGGCCTACAGCAGGGGCCCGACCACAAGGTACCTGCCATACGAAACCCACCCCTGAGACCCCAGGACGCCCATGGATCTTTGGCGTGGGAGCGTCGCCCTATCCGTGGCAGAACCATCGAGACCCAAGAAGCCCAGGGCACCCTGGAGGCAGGCACGCAGGGCGCCTCTTGGCGTGGGCCGCCACTGCACCCCCCCGCCACCACCGAGCCTTCTAGAGGGCGGGGTGTGTGCTCACTTCGCTCTGGGAGCTCCCGAGCGAAGTGAGCCCCTCCCACCCCCCTTAGAATCCGTGGGGGGCGGGGTGGGGCTCACGTGTGGTCAGCGAGCGACGGACGAGGAAGAACAAAAAGGGTTATAGCGACGGCAGGAAAAAAGACGTGGGGAGACCAAGAGAGACCGCTACCGCTGCTCCCCGGACCTCTCCTGCGGTTCTGGGCGACGAGAACGCCGAGGCGAATCCGGCCGTGGCGACGAGGGCCCCCCAGGAGGCCCCAAAGAAGGCGAGAACACGAGGCGGCGTGGCAGCGGTCTCGGTGCCTTCTCCTCTTCCTCCTGAGGCTGGGAAGCAGCGGGAAGAGGGGCTGTAGATAAGCTACAGAGCTGTTCGGCACAGCAATCGAAAGGAAATCATCAGAAGCGCTAGTCTAAAGGATCTAGATGCCTGAGATCGGTCTGCTACCAGAGCTGGGACCAAAAAAAAACATGTACTCTGCAAGTGCTTCAAAATAGGAGCGGGACAATATCTGGAAGGCAGCAGGAAGGGGGACGCCGAGGAGGACGGGGGGGAGAGACGCGTCGGCGAGGGACGGCGGGAGGAGGCGCAGTGAAAGCTTCTGTGTCTCCCCCCTGTCCTCACTCCCAGACATCCGGGGCACCAACTGTTTTGTCGATGCGCGCGAACCCCGGGAGGTCTGGCAACCTTCCCTGCAGGGTCAACGTTTCATCCTGAGCCGCTTTTGTTGACGGTCCATGGGCCCGCGGAGGGTCAGGGGAGGCTGCACATAGCCCACGACTGGGCGCTCCAGTCATTCAGGAGCATCGGATCTCTTGGTTCGTCGTCCTCCACCTCCTCCTCCTCCTCCTCCTCCTTCATTAACCGGGCCGGGCGCTCTGATTTTTCAGGAGCATCGGACCTCTGGCTTCGTCGTCCTCCTCCCCTCTCCTCCTCGAAGCTCGAAGCTGGCGGCTCTTGTCCTGAATGCAGGTGCAGCCGTCGCCCCCCCTCCGCCCCGCCCCCCCGTCTGGTGTGCGCGGGGAGGGGGGAGGGCGGGAAAGGAGGGGAAGGGGGAAAACGGCTCGGACGGCCGCTGGTGGGGGCCACCAGCGAGCGGGACGAGGAGGAGGACGACACGAGGGGGAGCACGAAGGCCTCCTCCTCCTACCTCCTCCTACTCCTTCACTCCTGCTCCCCTATCCTCCTTTTTGCCTCCTCCTCCTCCCCCTTCTCCCTGTCCTCCTCCTCCTCCTCCTCCTCCTCTTCCTCCTCCTCCTCCTCCTAACCCTTCTCCCTGTCCTCCTCCTCCTCCTCCCCCTTTTTCCTCCTCCTCCTCCTTCTCCTCCTCGATGACGGCGAGGTGGAGGAGTGAGCCGCGGGCCCTCCTGCGCGGAGGCAGAGCTCCGCCGACAGCCCGGAGATTGCCGCGTTCAGGGCAGGGCACACGACGCCTGGGCGCTCGGGTTAGGTCGGGCATGTCCTCCTACAGGCGGACTGTTTGAAGAACTATGGAACAGGATCTAAAACAAGCCGGAAACATGTTTTCAAAACATGATGGGACAATCGTCCCCAGACTATGTTTGACTATGTTTGAATTTCCCTCCTGTAGAGGGGCATGCCCGGCTTAACGATCGGGTCGGGTGGGTGGCAGGCATGCGCTCGGGCAGTTGTGGGGCGCAAAGGACACGACTGGCGCAGCCGAACGTATGATCCGCAAAGTTTGCTTCAAGAGCTCTGGGCCAGTTCCCCTGAATTTGGTCGAAACAACCCTGGGCCACTATCTGTTATTGAAAAAGATGGAGGGCGAACGTGCTCAAGAAGCTGGGCCAGCTTTCCAGGACGGTGGTCTAGTAACGCTGGCCCAGTTGTTCGGGAGGAGGCTTCTGAATCAGATGCTCGACTGTACTACGCTCACCCCCTGGAGGCGCACGTCCGATGCGAACACACACACACACACTTACACACAATACGACAATCTTGCAAAGCAGCGATTTCCCGAGGGGTATGGCCGGAGAGCGCCCGCCGCGGCGCGTGTGCCACCAGACCTCTGAGCGCGTGCGTCGCCCTGGCGGGGCCGAGGCGCACACCGCAGAAGCGTGCCTGTGTGGCGGGGCCGGCCGGCACGCGCTGAGACAGCCAGGGAGCAGCAACAGCACGAATGGCGCGCCGGCGTGGGTCGGCTACACGCGAGAGTGACCCTGGGTAAGAGTGACCTGTGGTGCGCGATTCAACGGGGCGCGTGGGGTGGGAAAACACGGGCGCGCAAGACGCTACTGTCGCATCGCGCTCGGCGATCGGGGGAACCCAATGGGCCCGCACCACAGGTCACTCTGGCGAAGGGGTCACTCTTACGTCTAGTCGAGTGGGGAGCAGATCCGCGTGCTGCTGCTGAAGGAACACCGGGCCTTCGGGACAGAAGCGAGGGACTGGCACGCTGACGGCCGCCTACGGGCAGCGTGCCGTTGACGTACTCCTGCTCCCTCCCGAGCCAGAGGACCGACCCCCTCCCGAAGGGGGAGCGGCAGCAGGGAGCCGTGGGCGTCGCATGGGGACATCGAATCGGATCGGAGCGTGCATCGAATCGGACCGCGTCGGCGAGGAGTCGGAGCCCCACGGAAGCGGCGGCGCCGGGGTGCACAACCGCGCCAGGAGCACCTCGGGCCGCAGCGGTTCGCCCGAGCACAGACGAAGAAACAACGGCACACACACATGAAGTGTTGTGAAGGGGCCCCAGGACACACAAATAAATACACACAAATAAAATGATTACCCATATTTTCCCATATTTTCTGGGTTTTTGTCTTCTCCCCCACTTCCCATATTTTCCCATATTTTCCTGGGGAATCGACGATTCATTGTGTCTGTGTGTTTCTTTTCCTCCTGACACAGGGACTGGCAGGCTGACGGTCGCCTACAGGCAGCGTGCCGTGGATGTCCTCTTGCCCCCTCCCGGGACAGAGGACCGGCCCCCTCTCGAAGGGGGAGCGGCAGCAGGGAGCCGTGGGCGTCGGATGGGGGAACCGAATCGGATCTCGGAGCGTGCATCGAATCGGACCGCGTCGGCGAGGAGTCGGAGCCCCACGGAAGCGGCGGCGGGCGCCGGGGTGCACAACCGCGCCAGGAGCACGTCGGGCCGCGTCGGATCGCCCGAACACAGACGAAGAAACAAGGGCAAACACATGAAGTGTTGTGAAGGGGCCCTAGGACACACAAATAAATACACACAAACAAAATGATTACCCATATTTTCATATATTTTCTGGGTTTCTGTCTTCCCCCCCCCCACACTTCCCATGTTTTCCCATATTTTCTGGAGGGTCAACGATTAATTGTGTCTGTGTTTTTTTCCCTCCGGATGTTGGCGCTCCGCGCGGATTTTTTGGATCCGGGCTAGAAGCCCATCCCTAGCGCGCGGAGCGCGCCAGGGGCAGCGCTGGAGGCGCCGCTGGGGGGGTCCTGCGCGGATCCAAGAACTCCGCTCGCAGCGCCAGCAGTTTATGTCTACGCAGTTTTTTCCTTGTCGGGAACATCGAGATCGAACCGAATGGCACGAGGCGGCGCAACGAGGCGACCGACACCGGGACGCGGACCGAGGAGGAGCCCACCAGGCTTGGGTGAGCGGGGTGGGCAGCCCGCCAGAGATGACAGACGGGGAAAGGCCCGCGGCGGGGGCCAGAGATAACACACGCGAACGCAAACACACACACACATTGACACACCACACAACACAGACAAACACAACACAAACACAAACAAAACACTCAAAACCAAACGCACAAACACAAACACACACACACACACACTCACAACACACACATCCACACATTCACACACACCACACACACACGCACCCACACCCACACCCCCACCCACACACACACACACACACACACCCACACACACGCACCACACACACACACACACACACACACACACACACACACACACACACACACACACACACACACACACCCACACACACACACACACTCACCCACACCAACACCCGCACCCGCACCCACACCGACACCTACACAAACAACCCATCGGAAGCCGCTCGCCTCTCCTGGGGCTCGGCGGGACGCCGTGCACCTCTCGAGAATCGACTGCTCCGTGTCGGGATGCGTGCTCACTTCCGCTCGCGACCGCTGCCGAGGAGCTCACGCCTGGACGTGACAGGGCACGTCGAGGCCGGGGTGCGCTGCGCTCGGCAGGCCATGCGCGCGAGCACCGGCGTGCGGGGGGTGGGGACCAAGAGCTCCCGACGTCGCGCTTCGCGCTGCGCGAAGCGCGAAGTGCGAAAAACTTCGCGCTCTCGCGCCGCCTCCCAAAGGAGAGGACGAGGATGAGGAGGAATCGGAGCCGAACCGCAAAGCGCGAATAACTTCGCGCCCTCGAGGGCGCCCTTGGGAATGGGCACCTTCTGCTCTAAGCGACCCAGTGGGGTCCTTCACGGCAGGCCAGCCACAACTGGGGGAGCTGTGGTCCTTACCCCCCCTGGGGGACCCATCGATTTCGACGCCCCTCTCGAGAGATCGTCGAGGCGATGGGTTCCCCCAGGGGGTCAGGACCACAGCTCCCCCAGTTATGGCTGGTCGGCATGGCTAGCTTCTTCTTCTTCATGCCTGTTGTGATGTGCTGAATCTTCCTTCGAGACGCTTTCCAGGTTGCAACCTCAGATCGGCTGTTCCTGCTGATGGAAGCTCCCCAGATGGTCTCCGAGTAGCTCGCAGCATCGCCGATGCGTCGCCGATGCATCGGCGATGCATCGGCGACGTCGGCGATGCAATGGCTACGTCGGTGCGGAGAAGATCGGTCTCCACAGAGAGCCGCATTGCCGATACATGGCGATGCGGCGAGATCCTCCGACCCCATCTACTTCGACCCCACCTGGGAGGCCTAGATCCGCCACCGTGCCTGCACGGAGTGGGCCTGCTAGAATGCTCGTCTGTTGTATGTTGTCTAGTTTATGTAGGGCCCCCCCCTGCTCGGCGCATGGTTCGAACAGCGCCCTTTCTGAAATTTCATTCTGGCGGTCTTTCCGATCCCAGACGGTCAAGATGGCCTCCAAGACGGGTTCCAAGACAGCCAAGACAACAACAAAGCTGCTCAAGATGGCCCAAGAAAGCTCGATAGCCTCTCATCCGTAGCCTCCCAAAGACGGCCTCGGGACGGCCAACGAGGCTCCCAAGCGGGCCTCAAGACGGCCCGAGAGATCTTCACGGCAGCCCAGGAAGCTCCAAGATGCCTTCCTGGAGAGCCAGAGGGAACCAAAACCATTGCCTTTCCCAACTCCGTACTATGCCTTTGGATACCCATGGGAATCCTAAGGAAATCTATTAGACTCCTTGGGAAATCCACGGGATTCCTCAGGAAACCAATCGGGGTCCGACAGACATCCATTCTGGACGCCCGAGATGGGCACGGAAACAATGGGCACAGTGCCCAACAGCGAATGCTGTCCCGAACCAACAGCGGCCGCTGCTGGGCAGGCGGCCTCCTGCCTCGAATGGACACAGGCCGCGGCGACGCGGACAGCGAGCCCTGTTCAAAATGAACCGAAACTGCTGTTGGGCTGTGTACCCATTCTTTCCGTACCCATTTCGTTCGTGCAGATCTACGAGGGGGATCCGCACATCCTGTCCCGAGGCCCGTGCGCGGCCCAGGGGGCGACCCAGGAGCGCATTGAAACAAGGAGAGCGCCGTGGAGTTCGGAGATGTGTATGACCCAGGCCATGATACCCCCCCAAGTCATCACCCCCTCCCCAGACCCCCGACGTCATGATTTGGGCATCGTTGGGCATCGTACCCGTTCGTTCCGTGCCCATCTCGTTCGTGCAGATCGATGGGACTCCGTAGGATACATCCATCGGGATCCCTATGTTGAGGCTCTCGCCTGCTCGGGCTTACCCGACCGCCCAGGGACGACCCCAGGAGGCCTCCCAGAGCGGCCTCCAAGATGTCTCCAGGGCAACCAATGACTACCTACCAGACCACCCCAACCCAACCCGAAGACCCGAATTTCGGGTTTGGGGGGGTATGGGCTCCATATGTGTTTGTTGATGTTCCCGGACCCCCCCCCCACTAAATGAATGGCAAATTAAGGCCTTCGGATTGGGTTGGGGTGGTTTGGTGGGTGGTGAACCAAAGAGGCTACAAAGAGGGACCCCTGTCGGCTCAAGAGGACCCCAAGATCGTCCAGAAGTCTCCTGGGAGAGCCCCAAGACGGCTTCGAAGCGCTCCAAGCAGCAGGACGGCCCAGAAAAGGCCTCTTGGGCTGTCTTGGGCGGTCGGGAACTCCAATACGCCAGAACCTCACAATCCTTCGAAAGACCCGGACAGGCCAATCGTTCTGGCACTCTCGGGCTCTCCTGGAGAGCCCTTTGGAGGTGTCTTGGGCCGTCTGGAGGGCCTCTTGATCTGCCTTGATGCCTTCTTGGGGGATGGCATCCAAGACGGCTTTCAAGGCAGCCAAGATGACTCCGCTGCATGCCCCGAGACGGCCAAAAGAGGCCCCCGAGACAGCCTCGAAGGCAGATCAAGAAGCCCCTAAGACGGCCCACGAGGGCTCCAGAAGGCCCTCCTGGAGGGCCCGCGGAGGCCAACACCATTGATATGCTTTTAATTGTTGGAAAAAATTTTAGATTTTGGATTTGGAGTCCCGAAACCGTGCGGTGACAAACCGCCTCGGAGAACGACCCGAGTCCCCAAACCGTGCGGCGACTCCGAATCCCCGCCGTCTCACCAAACGGTGGGGCCACCACCCCGTTTGGGGGCCCCCGACTAGGAGGTTCTCGCCTGCTCGAGTTTCCCAACCGCCAGGGACGGCCCAAAAGACAGCCTGACAGACCCCCAGTGGGGGCCTCCAATCGGCCCAGGAGGGAGTCCAAGATCGAGCCGGGGGCTCCGAACGAGGACCCCGAGACGGCCGTGAACCGCTCCATCGGGGGCACAAGCAGGGCCTCGAGAGGCCCTCAAGGCGGCCTCCATAATTGGGCGTCGGAGGGGCCACGAGTCCTGGGGCACAAGGGGCCGCAAAAGGACCCCCAGAGGCCCCATGAGGACCCCAGACGGCCCCCAAGAAGTTTTGGGGAACAGGAGGCCCCAGGAAGGCCCTCAGAAGCCTGCTCCTCCTCGTTCTCATTTCCTCCCTCCTCCTCCTCCTCCTCCTCCTCCTCCTCCTCCTCCTCCTCCTCCCTCCCAACGCACGGACGAAAACGAGGTCGGGATTGCGACCCCTGCTTCCGCGTGTGACCAGCATCCGACATGTCACATGTGTTGGCTTCCGCGTGTGACACACGCCCGACATGTCACATGTGACGGCTTCCGCGTGGGACTCGAGCCCGACTGGTCACATGTGACGGCTTCCGCGCAGGACCAACGTCCGACATGTCACATGTGACGGCTTCCGCGTGTGACTGCTGTTCGTCGGAAGCGCGCTGTTCCTGCAGCGATGTTGCACAGGCGCGGTGGCGGGGCTCGCCGCCAACCAAGGCGGATAGACGACGACCTCGCGGCCCGAATTCCGGGGCGCGATCCCGCGGGTTAGGAGGCAACTACTGGGTGGTTTTAGCCGGAAAGATTAAGGAGGATTGAGCCCCATTTGGGAGCTGTTGCGCCGGAAAAGGCCTCGGACTAAGCGGGATTAAGCTGGATTAAGCCAGACTTCGGACCAGGGCGAAAACAGAATTTGACCTCCCAAGAGTTGCATCCGAACGCGGGTACTCGGTCGCACGGATACCGCGCGGGGCAGCACCGAAACATCAGCTCTTGCCCAGGGGGCCGGGCCCAAGAGGCCGCGGGTGCGCACACGTTTCTCGCCTATACGGCTCCGCCTCCGATCGGCTGTCCATTGTGCTGAACACGTGGACTAGGAGGCAACTACTGGGAGGTTTTCGTCGGGAGAATTAAGGAGGATTAAGCCCCATTTGGGTAATACGCCACAGAGGGTCTCGGATCAAGCGGGATGAAGCCGGACAAAGCGGGATTAAGCGGGATTCGACCGAATAAAGCCAGACTTCGGACCAGGGCAAAATCAGAATTTGACCTCCCAAGAGTTGCATCCCAACGTAGACACCCGACGTCGTGTTTTTGTTCACGGCGTCGACGCCCAGAGGTCTCGACCCCTTTCCCCGGACGGGCTTGTTCATGGTCCCGAGGCCCGGCAAGGTCTCCAAAGGGCAGAAAATAGCGAAGCACTCTCCGCCGTGCTTGTTTGTCATGCCTTGAGGGGGTCAGGGCACCGATGGGGAAACCAAAAAGTACCAGTACTGCTACTCCCCAGACCTCTCCCGGGCTTCGCTCTGACCTGAATTTCGAGGCGAATCCAGCGGCGGCGACGAGGACCACCCCGGAAGCCCAAACAGGAGAAAACGAGGGAAGGGCAGCGGTATCAGGACATTTCCTCCTCTGAGCCTAGACGACGACGTTCGGCATTGGGGAACAGGGTCATCAGGTAAATGGGTCCTGGACATTGGGGGCTTCCCACAGAACCAATTCTTCATCATGGGCAATGTTCTGAACATCCCCGGGCCCGTGGAAGGACCCAGGAAACCAAAAACGGCGAAAGATCCCAAGACCCGCTTCACTCAGGACCCATCGCCCCCATGTGAGCAAGGACGGACTGTCCCGGCATTCATTCCTTTAGGCCTACCACGGCATGTTCTGAGAACCCACAAACGATCGAAATGTTCCTGGCACACAATCCCGATGTGCTAAAGCAAGACAGTCTCAGCCAGACATGCTCTAAGGCCATCCTTGGAACATTCTTTCGGGGATGGACAGGCCCCCCTTTAGTAACACGTGGTTTAGTGTAAACGACCTGAGGCCCCAACCTGGCGGGCGCAAGCCTGGAAGATGACGGCCACGGCGCCCTCTCGAGAACCGAAGACGGACAATTCACTAATCGACGTGTCACTGTTGGGGGTTCTCTCCACCCCCGATTCTTTGGTGGGCCTGTAGGCAAGCAGGGGCGCTTCGCCACTGCTCGGCCCATGGCGAGCCATGCTCCCGAGCAGCGTCCTGTGGCAACTCACGGGCGCCTCCCATACCATCTTGTCGCTAAATCGACGCCAACCGTCGCTTTACAGTCGGGGCGTTGACCTAAGGAACCCTAACTAAGGAACGAGGCCCCTTTTCCATAAGTTAAGCTTCGATTTCCTCTCGAAAACATCAGGAAAGCCTGAGGCAAGCTGTGAAACACTATAGGAACGCGGAGCCCCTCCCCAACCAAAAGGGTTGTTCCTTCTTCAGGGCCCCGACTGCACACCGGCGCGATCTCATCGACTCCCAGACGGTCATCGACGCGAGTCGACGCCGAAGACGGAACTGCGAGGGCATACCCGGCCCCCCCGATTTGCCACCGAAGCAGCGGGTGTGCAGAGCCGCGGCCCGGCGGCAGCGGCCTAGCCGGTGCGACGCCGCCCGCCGCGCGGCCAGCCACCGCAGGAGGGCGCGGCCGTCCTCCGGAGGCCTCGGCGAGCCGCTGCCGCTGGGCCCGGGACCCGGACCCTCCTCCTCCTCCCCCTCCTCCTCCTCCTCCCCCTCCTCCTCCTCCTCCTCCTCCTGCTCCTCCTCCTCCTCCTCCTCCTCCTCCTCCTCCTCCTCCTCCTCCTCCTCCCCCTCCTCCTCCTCCTCCTCTTCCCCCTGCTCTCCCTCCTCCTCCTCCTCTTCCCCCTCCCCTCCGTGACCCAGACGTCGGGCGTCTCGGAGAAATCGAGGCGGAGGGACCTGCAAAAGAGGGGCCTCTCGGGGGCCCTCGGGGACCCGTCGTCGTCGGCCTCTCGGTGCCCTCACCAGGCCTCGGGGCCCTCACAAGACGGCTCGCGATGAGAAGCTGGTCCCGGGCAGGTGGTCGAGGGGCCGGGGGCAGAAATCACGCTGGATGTCTGGGAACCTAATTATCCTCATCCCCAAATGGCCTGGCCTTGGCCTTGGCCCCACTGACCAGTTCATCACCCCCAGATGGTGATATATGATTTCGGGGCGAAGGTTCACAGGCCCACCCCCCAGATGGGATGGGTCCCGGAGTTCACAGGCCACCCCTCACCCCGGATGGAATGGGGGACGATGAAGACGACCACGACCACGACCACGACCACGACGACGACGACGAGCACGACGACGACCACCACCACCATGCCCCGTCCACAGGACCACGACCCCAGGGCGGTGGGGCACCCATCGCGCGGGGAAGGTAGCCCGAAGGCATCAGCATGAGAAGGGGGGGGGCGGCCCTTAATCAAAGAGGCTGCTCCCTTCAGGTTTATCGCGGGGCCGCTCCCCAGCTTGATGGTGTAGGCTGGCGGGGCTGGAGATGCCAGGGCCCGGTGGGGATGGACAGAACCCCCACTCGTAAAACGTGGTTTCGTGAAAAGGACCTCGGGCCCAAACCTGGTGGGTGCAAGCCTTGAAAATGACGGCCGCGGCGTCCTCTCGAGAACCGAAAACGGACAATTCATTAATCGACGTGTCAGGGTGGACGTTTTGTCGGCCCCCGTGGGAGATGCCTCGTCGAAGGGCCCTACCCGGATCCCTATCCGGATCAGCATCCGTCGTCTCCGCGTGCGCCGCCTGGATGGGGCTGATGATTATGCACTTTTGTCCTAGGGCGTGAATGTGAAAGAGTTGACGGTGGGCCCCGCCAAATCGGCGCGCCAACGCGGACACAAGCCTGCACTGAACAGCAGCGGAGCAGAGGATCCATTGCACCCCGCAACTCTGCCCTTCGTTCCAGCACTTGCTCGATGGGGCAGCGTCGTGGGGGAACCGGCTCGGGGTGGGGGGGGAGGGAAGCATGGCATCGGCGCTGCATCGCCGATGGATCTGCGACAGGGCGCCGGCAGCGCACCCGCACACTCCTGAGCGGGGTGGCCTACCAGGCCCCATCGGCGATGCATTGGCGATGGGGGGACGACGCTTCCCCCCCCTGAGCCGGTCCACCCTGTCGTTCCCCCTCCACTCCTCAACCTCGCGGGAAGACAGAGAGGTACAGCTGCCACTGCTCCCCGGACCTCTCCCGGGGGGCGTTCGGACTAGAATTCTGAGCAGAGATCCAGCCGTGGTGACGAGGGCTCTCCCCCCCTTCCCTCCCTCCCTCCCTTGGGGCTAGTCCCCGACCGGGGAAGCCGTGCCCTGCAGGATGCCGCGCGCGCTTGGCCCCAAGGCTCGGCCTGGAAGCAACGAGGGCCTCAAGGGGCGAATGGGCAGGCCAGGCTCGCTCGTGGAAGCCACGACCTGCAGGATACCGCGCGCGCTTGACCCCGAGACCACGCCTGTAAACTGCGAGGGCCTCCATGGGGGGACGAAAAGAAATGATACCGAGGCCGATCCGGGAACTCTGCGCGGACCTCAACTAGCTTATGTGTCCACTAGTTTGTGCGTATGACATCTCCTCGGAAAGGGGGCGAGAGCGAGAAACGAAAAGGATTGCCAACTGCAACGTACTGCACGCAGACGGTGCACAAGGCAAGAGGCACGACGGTGTACAAGGCAGGAGGAGAAGGAGGAGGAGGAGGAAGGATGGAGGGCTGGGAGGAAGAGAAAAGGAAGGAGGAGGAAGTGCGAGGCGCCACACTGGGCTGCCTAACAACGCCTGCTTAGAGCTGCGACATAGGCGCAGCGAATCGCCGCAATCGAAACTGGTTCTCGTGGCGGGCGAGCGGCGAAAACAACGAATTACGGCCGGCACATCGTATTGCTCTGACGCGCTGTCGGCCCAACGCTGGGCAGTTTGCTGGGACTCCAGGGACAGGCAGGATTCGGCGCGTTATAACAGCGCTGCGGTACAGCTGACTGCGAGAAAGACTCAAATATCAGCGATCGCTCCGGCCTGCTCCTCAATGTCTCGAGCGTCACCGCTTGCGATCGATGCGGTTTGAGACGCCCCAGTGTTGGAGCGAATGGCTACCTCGACTTCGTCTTCGTCCACAATCGCGTCTGGATGATCCAACTCGGTCGTTCCATGCGTCGCAAGAAATCCGCCACCGTGCCTTGTGCAAGTTGAGGCGTGGAAGAGTGCCAAGGGCTGTCTGGTAAGATTATTATACTCGAGCAGGGGCGTCTCCTTGTATGCATCGCCTCCCTCTCCCGAAACTCCGTGGGCAACGATCCCTTAAATAAAATTACGGCCACAAGGCGGCCAAGGCAGGAAACCAAGGCCGCCAAGCCCAAGACGCCTCGAAGTCGGCCCAAGATGGCCACAAGGGGCCCAAGCAAGAGGACCCTCAACTCGGATTTAAAGATTGAGCGGATTTTCGACATGATTTTGAAGGATATTGGAATTCTCGCCTTCTCAGGCTCCCGCGATGTCCAGATTGCCCAAGAAGTCTCCAGGATTGGACGGGGAAAAAACGAGGACCATGACCAAGATTGAACGCAGAACGTTGACGTCGATCTTAGTCATTGTCATTCTTGCTCAACGGCAAGTCGTGGATCATCCTCGCGTATCGCCGACTGCCCGCATGCAACATTACCGCAAACGGGGTCGACCAGATTCCGCGACACCTTGGTCATGGTCCCCGTGTCTCTTCCCTCGAAGGATGGCCTCAAGAGGCCAACATGAAAGTCCCAGCATGGCACAAGAGGACCCCATGATTGCCCAAACGGCCGCCAAAGCGGCCCCTCACTGGCTGCAGAGGGCCTCCACTAAGGCCTCAGATGGCTCCTCGACGGCCCAAAATGGCGCCAAGATGGCCCCACGACGGCCCCAAGACAACCTCCATACAGCTAAGAGCGCCCCCGATTGCCCAAGAGTGCCACGAGACGGCAAAGGGGAACTCCATGACGGCCCAAAGGGACCCCCAATACAGCCCCGCAGGAGCCCCGCAGGAGCCCAGGCCAAGCCACCACAATTCTCCTCCTCCTCCTCATCATCAGCATCATCACCATCACCATCACCATCACCATCATCATCATCATCATCATCATCATCATCATCATCATCATCATCATCATCATCTTCACCATCACCATCACCATCAACAACAACATTATCAACATCTTCATCATCATCATCATCATCATCATCATCATCATCATTATCATTATCATCACCGACATCATCATCAACAACATCGTAATCAGTACCGTCATCATCATCATCATCAGTTTCAGCAGCATCATCATAAGCATCATCATAATCAGCATCATCATCACCAACATCATAAAGATAATCACCATCCTCCACATATGCATCACCATCATCATCACCATCACCACCACCACCATCCTCATCGACATCACCATCATGAACATGCTAATCATCCCCATCGTCCGCCACGATCCATCATCTCGTCATTGACATCATCGTCCTCGTCGGTTCGAAAAGCTGCCGCCAAAACTCTGTACTGGCACGGTGGCGGGACTTGCCGTAGGCAACTGGATAGATTCCTCTCCAACTGCATGATTGATGCGACGAGTTCCCGGTTAACAATCGAAGGGTCGAAAAGCGATTTACCGCTGCCGCTTCTTGAGGGGTCAAGAATTGAGAGCTGTTGCACCCCCACAGAATCACGAGAAGCGTGACGTGCTAACCGGACCGACTCACGAGCAACGTCCTTCGTGTCACATGCTTCAGCGCTATGCCTAGCCGGCTGGCCCAATATCGCGGGCATGACCTGACTCGTATTGTCATTATGGGGGTCCGCCTGCCGTTGCTCCACGTACATAGGTACCCGTGTATCGACCCAGCGAGTGAATGGCTTCACCAGGCACGCGTCCATCAACACGCCAAAAATGATCGACGTCGAAAACATCCCTAAGACGGTGCCCCAACAATCATCTGAAAAAACTCCCGCATGTTTCATTATCAGTGCGAAAGGCCAATGTGTTAAGTATAAGGTGTATGATACCGACAGCATGCTGCCAAGGAGCTTTTGGGTATCCGGGCTAGCGTTTCTCAACGCTCGCACTGAATTGCTGTCGAAGCTCCACAAAAGCACAAGAATTGCGATGACTGGCCCTGCTGCTAAATTCGTATAAGCCAACAAAGAGTCGATGAGAAGGTCGGCACCCGTCGGGATCATAGTGATCAAGCATATGCCTACGATCGTCAGAGAATCAGACGCAAATCGAAGCCGGCTGCGAGTAACGCACTCTGGTATCTCGATCACACTAGTCAGCCGTTCCAATATGGCCCCCATTGAAGGGACCCAGACCTGACATGGGGCCCACAAATGAAGTACGCGACTATACGCAGCGGCCTCGCGGCCATATACACGTTGCAAACTAATGAGAACGACAGCCGCAATAATCAAGCGCAGGGCGTATCCGACACCGTGCCGCGAGACACGAGTTGGAAGGTCCACATGTCCCTTTGGCCCGACGTCCTCAAACCTCAGGGTCGAAAATTTGAGGGTGCATGCACCCGGAATTGTCGATGTATCGAGTGCGCGTGTTGCCGCGTGACCTTCTCCGGAGACAGGAGGCCCAAACTCTGCCAGGAGTGACCAAATAAGTTCCCAAGACGGTCTACGAGGCCTTCAAGATGGCAGAGAAGCTCCGTACGACGCTCAAGGTCGTCTCAAGACGGCCCATGAGGCCTCCAATGCGCCCAGCGACGAGCGACACAGAAGAGGCCCCCAAGAAGCCCAAATCGCTGATATGCCGAAAGTCGTTGAACTCCCCGGACGCGGCCAAGACGCCCAAGACACCTAAGAACGACCCACGAGGCCGCCAAGAGGGTACAAGAAGGCGCCCAGGCGGCCTCAAAGGCCCCCGAAGACGACCCAAGAGGGTCCCAACAGAAGGAACACAAACTGACATGTCGAGCCTCCGTTTCAAGATGACCCCGAGACCGCGAGCAGGGCCGCAAGAGGCTCCTAAGGAGCCCCAGGAGGCCTCCAAGAGGCCTAAGCCAAGCTCAAAAGGGCCCCAAAGGGGCCCCACAGGCACCCAGGAGGCCCCAACACACACACACACAACCCCCCCCCCACCCACACACACACACAAACTCACACACACAAAAACAAACACAGACACACACATACACACACACAACGCCACACCACACACACACACAAACACACAAACAAAACAAAAACACGCCTCCAAGAGGCGTCGGAGAACCCCCCCAAGAGATCCCCTCAGACATCCAAGATGTTTTGACCTGCAGTCCAGGCGCGGTTGAGGAATTAGCCACGGGTCACAAGATCCGCTTGTCCCGCTGGTCTTGCCACTGGGGTGCACGGAGTGCCAGATGTCAGGTTGCGTTGTCAGCGGCTCGGCCCATACCACGGGCCGCGCGGAAGCCCAGACGAGGTGGGAGGCAAGGCTCCTGACGCCTCCAAGACGACGTGGACTTCAAGATGCCGAGATGGCTCCCAGAGAGCCCACGATGGCCACAAGACTCCGCCAAGCAGGCCCCAGCTGCACCCAAGGCTGCCAAGGATGACGGTGGCCCCAAGATGTTCCAAGACGGGTCAAGAGGCACCCCAAAGACCTCTAGGGCTTCCCAAGAGGCCTCCGACACGTTCCACAGAAAAGCCCGACGAGGCCCAAATCATGCGCCGTTCCAGAAGGTGTTTGAAGAAGTGTGGCAGTTGCTCCCGTTCGACTTTCAGACGGCCCAAGACCACCAAAGAGGCCACCAAGATGGACCCAAGAGCACCCAAGAGGCCTCCAAAATAACCCTCTGACGGGACAAGAGGTCACCGAAACGGCCCCAAGGGGACCCCAAGACAACCCAGGAGACATCAAACTCGCCCAATATGGCTTCCACGGCGGCCCTGGCATGCAATCCCACACGATGGCCCCAACGCGGCCAAGGCAAGTCCCCAAGAGGGCTTCCGACAGCGCCAGACGGGCTAGGATTGCAACCACGAGCGAAAACTGCACAACACACGCCACACCATTGGCCCGAGCATGCCTCCAAGAGGCCTCTAGGAGGCACTCAAGAGGCCTCAAGAGGGCCCCCAAAGCTCCAAAGAGGCCTCCTCCTCCTCCTCCTCCTCCTCATGTTTCTTCCCTCTCGTCCTCTTCCGCTCCCTCACCCAAATGTTCCTCGAAGGATTGCCACAACGGCTGGGGGAGCATACAGTTCGATAGCGTGGCAGAGCTCTGGCCACAACGTTCGGTCACAAGGGCGCTTCCAAAAAGCAGAGGGCGGCGGTAATCTACCGCAGGCGTCTGCGATAACGCCAGCCAGAGCGCGACGAGTTGCCTTCGGCTTAGCTTTCGAATCCAGCGAAGAAACGAGGGCGACACGTAGTGGTAGCAGAGCAGGCACGACACGAACCACAGCGGGCGATTGCAGCTGGTCCACTGGAGGGCGGGGCTCCAGCCTCCGAGAGCGAAGCCTTCCAGCAGGTACTGCACGACCCCGGGCCAACTCCTGACGGTTGCCACCACAGGGATGGACTTAAGTCGGGCGTGTCCCCCTGCAGGGGGATTTCGACAAGAAATAAAAAAAACTAAAAAATCAACAAATAATCCAAACATAGCATTGGGACTATGTTTTGAGTATGTGTTGACCTTTTTCGGGTATATTTGGGGTATTTTTTATTGTTCGTCGAAGATCCCCCTGTAGGGGGACAGGCCCGACTTAAGGATAGAAGTAAATATCCACCCTATGAAATAGGGCGGCAGAAGCCGCAGCACCTTCTTCCTCATATGGACTGACCACTGCACGTCTCTCCAAGTCTGAGACGACAGCCAGCCAGAAATGAGCAGCAGCGCCATCATTGGCTCTACCCCGTGATCGATGGTCTCATACGGGAAGTGGTCAGACACGTAGATTGAATTGACCGGGGCGACCAACAGCTTCTGATGAAACGCGACAAGGAAGAATATGTAGATAGCCTTCACGCAGTCAAACGTGATGATAAACCCTTTCGGTTCACCTGCAACCCTTGGTGGACGCAACTCCGCGTATTCCTTTCCCATCCCTGCAAAACGCCCTGACGCAGGCCAAGAAAGCTTGAGCAGCAATTGCTCTTTATCCACAACGGCTACGGGTGCTGATGATGGCAGTGATGACGATAATGATGATGCTGACGCTGATGACAACGATGCTGATGTTTAGGGCGGCGGTAGCGATGTCGATGGTAGCGATAATGATGGCGATGATGATTGGGATGATCCGGTTGAGAATGATGATGATGTGACGAGAATGTAGATTGTAGTGCTTTCGAACTGCCTTATTCCCCAATCAGTGACTGCGCTGAAGGGCTCCTGGCGGAGATTGAGAGATGTGGCGAAAGGTCCGGGCCGATCTCGGTAGGCGGCTGGGAACACAGAACCGGGAACCGGTTCTGGGTTCCCGGGTTCCCGGGTTCCTGGTTCCGGGCCGAGTTCGGTGGGCGGCGGCGTTCCCGGGTTCCCGGGTTCCTGGTTGATCTTCTGACCGATCGGTCTCACCATCGATCTCGTTACCCACATCTCTATCGATCCCACCATCGATCCGATCTCACGATCGATCTCACGATCGATCTCACAACCGATCTCACTACAAACCGCACGAGCGATCTCACGACCGTTCTCACGATCGATCTCATTGAATCGATCTCATTGAGTCGACTTCACTCTTTTTCTCACTACCGACCTTACAATCCTCCGCACTACCAATTCCACGATCGATCTCCCGATCGATCTCCCTATCCATATTACGACTGTCCAAACCATCCACTGATTGGGGTTTCCTCTGGTGTAATGTGGGGCGGAACGGGTGGTCCAGGGAGAGGACGGGGAGGGGGAGGGGGAGGGGGGGGGGGAGGGGGGAGGGGAGGGGGAGGAGAGGAGGGAGGAGGGAGGAGGAGGAGGAGGAGGAGGAGGAGGAGGAGGAGGAGGAGGAGGAGGAGGAGGAGGAGGAGGAGTCTAGTGGCTGAAGGCGGCGCTCCCAAGGACGCGACGGGCGAGGGGCTTGTGGGACCGATGCCCTAAGATGCCAGCGCGATTTCCTCACCCTCTGCCAGGCCCTCTGCCGCAATACTGTCAGCCACTCTGGCCCAAAACTGCCAGCCCGACATCATGGATCCAGGGCCCAAGACCGCATCCTCCTCCTAATTATGGCCCAGAACTGTGAGCCATCGTCAAATCCGGGGCCCAAGCTGCCAAATATCCTCACCCCAACAGTGCCAGTCCGATATCCTCACCCCGTGGCCGAACAACTGCCGGCCAAGTCCGCCACCGTACCTTCCGCGCGTAGCGTAGTGCTCCAAGGCTCATGCGGCCCTGAGAACTAACGAGTTTGCAAGGCTTCAGAGGCCTAGACCACCGGTCTCATAAAGATTTCTGGGCATCCCCGAAGACGCCGGGGATTGCCCGGGATTCATCGGGGTAGCGCAGATGCCCCACGAGGGCCACGAGACGGTCCATGCAAGAGGGCCCCGAATCGCCGCACGATCGGTTTAAGACGCCCAAGATGGTCTCCAAAAGGCCGAAACAGCGCCCAAGACGTCCCGCGAGGCGTCCAAGAGCCGTCCAAAGAGGGCTCCGAGAGGCCAAACACATTGCTTTGACCTTTACGCTTATTCAACTTTTTGGGGCCCTCGATTTTTCCTGCCTCCGACGCTCAATGTCGGCCCAAGAAGCTTCCAATACTGCTCCAAGACGGCCTAAGAGGCCCCGCAGACGGCGCAAAAGGCCTCCAAGACGGCCCCGGAAGCGCCCAGGACGGCCCAAGAGGGCACAAACAGAGCCCCAAGAAGAGCCCAAGAGGGGGGACACGAACGGAGAAGCCAAGTCTCCCCCTTTGGGACCCTAGTAGAGGCCTTTGGGACCCTTAAAACAGGGCTAGTATCGGGATAAGTCGCTCCAGAGCGTTCCGGAGCGCTCTCAGAGCGTTCCGGAACGCTCTGGAGCGGCCGCGGCGCCCGATACATCCTCCAAACCCGGCGATTCTCAGAGATTTCGAATTATCCCGATCCGATTTTGTCCCGATCTTCGCGTCGTTTTAACCCTAGAACAAGGCCCTGGTCACCCAAGACGTCTTCCAAGAACGGCCCGGACCCCCCGAATCGTTCGGCGATCCCGAAGCCGCGCGGAAATCAGCGAGGCCATGCTCGGGCCTCCGGCGACCGAAAGGGGCGATCCGCAAGACCCTCGGCGAGGCACCGCGGACGCACCCCGAGGCGGGCAGAGCCGCAGGAGCCGACGAGCTGTCCGAGAACCCCGGGTGACTTGGAGTTCTTCAGGGCGCGGCCCCCGAAGTCCCGACTCGGCGGCCCGACCTCTTCCCCCGGGGCGGGTTCTTCCTCCCGGAGCACCGCCACCCGCGCGGCTAATGAAGCACCACCCCCTCGGGAACCCCTGGTGTCTCTTCGTCCACGGGACGGAACGGGGCCCCATTGCCACAGCGGGCGGGGAGGCGGAACTTTCCTATCACCTCCAAAGTTCCTGTCGTCGCTCCGATCTTCATCTCGTGCAGCACCATGAAGAAGTCAATCCTAGTATATCGATATCTCCCAGAAGAATGTTGCATTCCGCCTGGACCCCGAACTTCAATATCCCCAGAAGAATATTCTCACCAGTATAGGGCTAGTTTTGGACAGTCCGGAAGCCCATCGGGGGCCCCTGGAAGCTGAAAGCGGCCAAAAACCTCCCGTCGTGTTTTTCCACGACGTGAGCATGTCCAGGGAATTACCACCGTGCCGCTTGGGCAGGAGAGTCTAGAATCGAATCGAATCGATAAGTCGGACCTGCGATCGGAATGAATCGGATTGGCGGAAATCGACAGGCAAGCCGGGAGAGTCGAATCGGCGGAACTCGGCGGGCTGGCAAGGCCGCCTTTGGGGTACCGAAACCGAGATCGGAAACCGGAGTCGAATCGGATCAAGATCCGAACCGATAGAACTCGGATCGAAGCGAGTCGGGGGGATCGATGCGAACAAAAAGCATATAAACGCAACATCTTGGAGGTCCGCGCGGACTCCTCGGATCGGCGCTGGACCTGGGAGTTTTCTATTTTTCTACGTTTGTTAATCCCTCTGGAACAGATGGTCGCTGCTTGGGCCCTCTGTTCTAGAGGGCCTCCTTCGGCGGTGGACAAACCTCTTGTTAGTAAACCTCCCCTTCGTGAAAACGGCCTGGGAACGAAACCGACGGGCCTGGACCCGCAACAATGACGGCCGCGACGCCCTCTCGCGAACCGAAAACGGCCAATTCCTTAATCGACGTGTCAGGGCAGGAGGTCTGTCCACCCCCCACTTCTCGATGGGGTCCGAGCAATCAGATGAGGTCGGAGAGTCGCACCGCATCGCCGATGCATCGGCGATGCCTCGGCGATGCCTCGGGGACGGGGATGCACCGGCGACGCGTCGCCGACGTCGGCGACGGCACGGCGACGTCGACGTGAAGCAGATCGGGCCCCGCATCGAGCCGCCTCGGCGATGCCTCGGCGACGCTGCGCGATCCTCCGACCCCATCTGCTCCGACCCATCCAGGAGGCCCTCGCCATCGCTCGGAAGTCCATTCCCTGTGTTTTTTATCGGTTTCGTGCGTGTTTTCTTTGCTCGTTGATCGAGGATGGTCCTCGATGGTTCTCGCCGAGAAAAAAATGCACACGCCCAAGCGATGCCAGGGGCCTAGAGGAATCGAAACGGTCCCTGCCTTGGGGCCTCCGAGTCGTCGCCCTCGCCGTCGCCCGCCGCGCTCCCGCCGCTGGGGCGCCGGCAGCTCGCCGCCCCAGCGGGCCCAGGCGCGCCCCGCGCACGCGAGGGCGGGCTCCAGCGCCGCCTGCAGCACCGCCTCGCAGGCGTCCCGGCGCCAGGGCCTGCGGCCGGGACCAGACGTGGATCGCTCGCCTTCGGTGGCAACTCTCTAGGGAAGAGGTCAAAAAGTCCACCCCCATAATAAGCGCCCCCGGTTTTGGGGCCTCGGAGGCCCCAGTCGCCCGAGACGTCCTCGGAGAACGACCCGAGTCCCAAAACAGTGCGGTGACCCCGAATCCCCACCGACTCACCGCACGCTGTGGTCACCGCCCGTTTGGGGGCCCCCGATGAAAATCCGGGGACGGTGGGAACCTCTGGGACCGCTCTCAGGACCGCGCTTCCGACGAGGAGCGCCGTGCAGAATTGGTCTCCAGAGCCCTCCCAGGGTCCATCCTGGCTTGCTTCACGAGCTGCGTCCTGCCGTGACGGCGAGGGACGGCCGTACAGGACCACAAAAAACTATATGAACATGTACGCTTTCGACTGTCCAAGCAAATTTCTTTGCTCTGCGCTATATATATATATATATATATATGTGTATATATACATATATACATATATATATATATACACATATATATACATATATGTATATGTAGGCCCCCCTCACTGGCGCGCGGAGCGCGTCAAGGGTGGCGCCAGAGGCGCCGCTAGGGGGCCCCCCTACTAGGGGGGCCCAACGCAGACTTAAGGAACCTGCGCGGACCTTCGGAAGTGAATGCCTATGCAGTTTGTCCATTTTCGAGCCCAGGTGTGGAGGAACACTGCCGGGGCGAAGAGGGATGTGCAGCAGCATCGGTGTCGCTTCCCCCTCTGCAGGAGGCCCCTACAGGCTCAAAACTTGACCTTGGAACCTTGCCTCGGGCCTCTGGCCAACCTGGGGGATGGAGCCGTGCCTCCCCACCCTCTAAAACAGGGCTAGGATCGGGATAAATCGCTCCAGAGCGTTCCGGAGCGCTCTGGAGCGGCCGCGGCGCCCAATACATCCTCCAAACCCGCCGATTCTCAGAGATTTCGAGTTATCCCGATCCGATTTTATCCCGATCTTCGCGTTGTTTTACCCTCCCCCCCCCGCCAGACGGCCCGGGGCGCGCCTCTGCTGCAGGGCGCTGTCGAGGAGGTCCTCGGAATCGTTCCACGCCTCGTCGCAGGCCTCGGGGAGCGGGGGGCCACTAGCATGCGGGGCATATACGGGGCCTGGCGGGAATGGGCCCTGCAGAGGCCCTGCCTCGCCTCCCGGGCCCCTGGCGCCCCACCCGGGCCCTGGAGCCGTCAGAAGAGCTGATCCCGGGGAAGGCCACCCAGGCTTGGTGGTCATCTGGGGAGGGAAAATGCCTAGGATGGAGAAAAGAGAATGCCCAGGGGCCAGGGGGGGCAGGGAACGAAACCCGTCCAACATTGTGCCTCTCCCCCTTTTCGAGCGGCTGGAACCAGTGATGCCCTGCTGGAATCTCACACGTTGTTTTGTATGGCTACCGGCTGCCATATAAAAAACGGGGACGCTCCATCATGACGACCGGCAACCATACAAAGCGTGTGATGTTCCAGCATGGCACCTGGTAGACCTGCAAAACGAGCAATGCTCCATGCTGGCATCCCGAAACCATTTGGAAAAAAACGAGTGCTGTTCCATTGTGACCACTGGCAGCCATACAAAAAAACGTGTGATGCCCCATCCCTAAAGAAAAAAACGCCATTGGCGCTTCGCGCGGGTTTCTTGGATCTGCGCTGGACCCCCCTCCCTGGCACGCCGAGCGCGCCAGGGACGGCGCCAGAGGCGCCGCAGAGGCGGGGGGCCGGCGCGGATCCAAGAGATCCGCGCGGAGCGCCAAAGTTTGTCTGTGGCCTGTTTGTTCTTCTTCGACTCTCAGCCCCCCGAGTCGTCTCCAACCCTGGCGTCTGCATGCGCAGGCGTGCGGCCTGTCTGACTCTCTTCGGCTACACGCAAGAGTGACCCTGGGTAAGAGTGACCTCTGGTGCGCGGCTTTTGGGGGGCCGCGGGAAGACCAAACCTAGGCGCGCAAGCCGCTGCTACCGCTCCGTTTTCACCCATCTGAGGGCCCACCTGTGCCCGCACCAAAGGTCATTCTTATCGGGAGCGGCCAAGAGGGGGGTGTCCAAGAGGGGGGGGGGTGCAAATCATGACCGGCGGCACGTGCGCGGCCCAGCGGGGGGGCCAGGGACGTAACGAAACAAGAAGAGGCGCCATGAAATCTGGGGAAATATCATCGCCCCCGCCATGATATCCACCTCCCCCCTCTTTGCCGCCCCCGACTGTCTGACTCTCTGCGAAAACACGGGGCCGCCGGGAGGGAACGGCGCTCTCCATAAGAGGGGGGGCCCGCTCGGCGCCCCGAGCCGTTGCGCATGATGACCGTCCCCAGAGGGGGCCAACGGGCGAGGGCCCCACGAGGCCGAGAGAGGTCCAACTCCTCCTCCTCCTCCTCCTCCTCCTCCTCCTCCTCCTTCACCTATCCTCCTCCTCCTCTTCCTCCTCCTCCTCCTTCTCCACCTCCTCCTCCTAGTCCCCCTCTTCCTCCTCATCCTCCTTCACCTCCTCCCTCCCCCCTCCTGCTCCTCCTCCTCCTCCACCTCCTCCTCCTCCTCCTCCTTTCTCCTACTCCTTGCTCCTCCTTCTCTCCTCCTCCTCCTCCTCCTCCTCCTCCTCCTCTTCCTCCTCCTCCTCCTCCTCCTCCTCCTCCTCCTCCTCCTCCTCCTCCTCCTCCCCCTCCTCCCCCTCCTCCCCCTCCCGTCGCGAGGCTTGCCACGACGCGAACGAGGAGCACGCCTGGGCAGGACCCGCCTTCCCTCCTGATTCCGGTCCCTTCCAGGCGAGGGGAGCGAAGGTCAGGGCTGGACCTGAACGTTGTTTTTGTTTGTTGTTCGTCGTGTTGTCGTCTTGTTGTTCGTTTTGCTGGACCTGTTCTCCGGCGCCTCCATTCCAAAAACGAAACACAAACCACAGCCGAAATTCAGCAACGCAGCGTTCAGGTCCAGCCCTGGCGGAGGTTGGGCGCGAAGTAATGGGGGCGCCACAAATTCTGGGGGGGAAGATTTGTTGAAGGTGCCCTTCTGGGGCCCTGCAGGCCCCCTTCGTGGGCCCGAAAAAGGCCATTCTAAAGGGCCCCCCAGGGCCTCTTTTGCGCAGCCCTCACTGCTTCCCCCCCCCCCCCCAATGCATCGCCCCCCCAGTACTTCGCGCCCGAGGAGGGGACGCCCAGGACACGCCGGGGCGCGGGTAAGCAGAGGGATCGGAGGCGTGCGTATGAGCACCAACGCCAACACGGGGGGGGTCCTCAGCCCGAGGGAAAATGGTCCTAGTTTTCGGTGGTGTTGGCAATCCCACCTGCCGTTTGGGCGTGAATGGTTTCGAGCGTTTCCTCTTCCAGCCCCCCGATCCCCCTTTTGAAGAAGGCGTTTACTCCTCCCTCTACTCCCTGCCCCTGGAACCTGAACGGGCCTTCCACGAGGGGCTGGCGCGTCCAAGATGGCCTCGGCGAGGACGTCACAATAACTGATGTGATTAAGGTTTTGGCCACATGTTGTCCTCCTGGGGGAGGGACCCGAATGTAATACGGCCCCTCCTTGAATCGATCTCCTCGAAGACGGCCCCAAGATGGCCCCCGAGGCCCCCAAGGGTGCCTCAAGAGGGCCCAAGAGGTGTCCAGGCCGCCCTAAGAGGCCCCCAAGATGCCCCCAAGAAGATTCCAAAAGACACCCACCAAGACGCGCCAAGAAGACCCCCCATAAACACCCAAAACGCGCAAATAGGTCTCGGAGAAAGGGCTGGAATCATGACATGTGCCAAAGTTTCGACCACATGTTGGCCTCCTGGGGGGTGACCCTTATGTACTTGGGCTCCTCTGTGAATCGATCTCCTCCAACATGGCCTCAAGATGACCGCCGAGGCTCCCAAGGGTGTCTCAAGAGGGCCCCCAGAGATGCCCAATAATCCCCAATAGGCCCCCACGATGCCCCCAAAATGCCCCTAAAATGCCCCTCCCATCCGGCGGGTCCTCCTCGTTCCTCCTCCATCCTCCCCCTCCCTTTATCCATTGTCCTCGTCCCTCTCCTGTTCCTCCTCCGATGCCTCGTCCATCCTGATGTTCTTGGGGTGCGACGTTTCCCCCTGCCCTTTATTCCACCGCGTTCTCCTCCACATCCCTGATCAGGGCAATTCGTCTGGACATAGTTCCTGGATGGGTCGCTGAGGTAGCGTTTTGCCACGCGGGCGCCCGAGGCGGGTCGAACGCCGGGTAAGCGGGGGCAGGCTGTGCCACCAGCTACGGACAAAACAAGCTTGCGACCATCGCCGGGCGCGGGGCGGAGCTCGGCGCGGCCAGAATATCGCGAAGGCATCACTAAGCGGCACCAGGAACACGTGGAAGCAGGTGCCAAGCAGGAGGCCGAAGCAGAAGCGGCCTGTCCAGTTATGCGAAGCGTCCAGAACACTTCGGCTACCTGGGACGCCCGGGTATCACAACCATCGCCAGTGATCGGGATCTGTTCCCGTCGGTGGAAGCACGCCGCCGCTACCGGTGTTGTTGCTAACCTGCAGGCCTCCGGAGAAAAGAGGGCGGGATGCCAAGGAGGCCGCGCGGCGCGATGCTCGGGGGGGGGGCTGCTGCTCTGATCGTCCTCCCCGACGGCTGCCCCTCCTCGTTCTGGCCAGCCGTGCTCCTGCAGCCTGGCCGCCCTCCCGCGCCGCCTCGAGGAAAAAACGCACCGGCATAACCATCAACACGCTTGACGGTCTGCGCGGACCGTCAAACATTTACCTTCGTGCTGGTATGCTGTCCCTCGATCGCCGCCCTCCTCGCGCGCTGACGCCTGAGGCGTAGCATAACAGATGTCAACGTCAGCACCTTTAAACAACAACAACCACAACAACACCACCACCACCACCAACAACAGTAGCAACACCAACAACCACAACAACACCACCAACAAGAGCAGCAACAACAACAGCAGCAACAACAACAGCAGCAGCAACAACAACAGCAACAACAATAACATCACAAGCAACAACAACAACAACAGCCACAACAACAACAACAACAACAACAACAGCAGCAGCAGCAACAACAGCAGCAGCAACAACAACACCAACAACAACATCAACAATAACATCAACATCAACATTAACATCACAGCAACCACTACAACATCCTGGAGACACGATCGACCCCGGGCCCCAGGACTCCCGACCTCCGCGCAGCGCCAGCCTTCTCGCACAGCCTGCGCGAGGTGGCTCCCTGCACGCCGTCCGCCGTCCCCCCTCCTCCTCCTCCGCTTCCCCCTCCTCCTCCTCCGCTTCCCCCTCCTCCTCCTCCTCCTCCTCCTCCTCCTCATCCTCCTCCTCATCTTTTTTTCTGTTATTGCTCCTCCTCCTCCTCCTCGTCCTCCTCCTCCTCCTCCTCCCTCCTCCTCCTCGTCCATGTGCCAGGCTTCCTCGTCGTCCTCCTCCTCCTCCTCCTCCTCCTCCTCCTCCTCCTCTCCTCCTCCTCCTCCTCCCTGCTCCTCCTCGTCCATGTGCCAGGCTTCCTCGTCGTCCTCCTCCTCCTCCTCCTCCTCCTCCTCCTCCTCCTCCTCCTCCTCCTCCTCCTCCTCCTCCTCCCTCCTCCTCGTCCATGTGCCAGGCTTCCTCGTCGTCCTCCTCCTCCTCCTCCTCCTCCTCCTCCTCCTCCTCCTCCCTGCTCCTCCTCGTCCATGTGCCAGGCTTCCTCGTCGTCCTCCTCCTCCTCCTCCTCCTCTCCTCTCCTCCTCCTCTCCTCCTCCTCCCTGCTCCTCCTCGTCCATGTGCCAGGCTTCCTCGTCCGTCCTCCTCCTCCTCCTCCTCCTCCTCCTCCTCCTCCTCCTCCTCCTCCATGTGCCAGGCTTCCTCGTCCTCCCCCGTCTCGTCCGCGGGCCAGGCGCTCTCCAGCGCGTGGCACCGGGCGGCCGCGGTCGGCGCGCTGCGCCAGCACGGGCGGCGACGCGCGTCGAACACGCGCTCGCGGCCGGAATCTCGTGCCGGGCGCGTCCCCCTACAGGGGGCATTATCGACGAAAGCTAAAACATACCCCAAACATACTCCCAAAATAGTCTGGGGCCTATCTTTTGAAGATGTGTTTGCCTTTTCGGGGGTATTGTGGGCGTATTTTTTATTTGTCGTAGAAAATCCCCCTGTAGGGGGACACGCCCGACATAACCGTAATCGTTCTCACTGTCATTCCTCTGACCACCCTCCTTTCTCGCAGTCCCCATCCTCCCTTCACCAGCTGTTTTCAGGGATGCAAAACAACGGCCCTACCCTGGGTTGCGAATGCGTGGTCTGTGAACATCCTGGGAACGCCCAAAAGCCTAGAGAGCCGCCAGGACGCCGCACATCATGCAGGGTTTATCCTGTTAGCCCGCAGGAGGTTCAGCGAACAGCGCCTCGTAAATCAGGGTAGGGGCGCTTTTTGTGTCCTTGATGTTTGGGATCATCGATGATTCTGGGGAACGGTGGTTCGGCGGGGTGGGAACATCGACCCAGCGTCGGGGCGACACAGCGCCGGCAGGTCGGCGCAAAGCACCGATATCGCTACAATGGGTGGGCAACTTGTTGGAATGCCTTGCGCACGTGTTGAAATGCTCGGGGAAAGAACCGTGCTCGAAATCGAACGATGTGGACGTGCAAGGCCATGTAGGTCCAATGCGAACTCTAGGCCGCTGAAAGAAGTTGGCGGTGGCCCAGACCCATGGGGGGGGCTCGCAAGCGGCAATGTAGCTCGCCCGTGACTCCCGCACGTCCGTTGGTAGAACGCACTGCGCGCCGGGGAGGCTGGCGGCGCAGATTCGGGGGAGAAGGGATAGCAGTATGCATTGGTAGCGCGTAGTTGTGATTGGGAGCGGGGAAGAAGATTATACAAACGAGGAACAAAAAGGAACTGGAGGAGGAAATATTATAATAGGACGAACAACCCAAGACAGAGAAGCCCTTCCTCGACCCCTTCCGTGTTTTTCGATACTACTCGTTCTTCATTGTCTTCACGCGCGCACGTGGCGTCGAACACGTCTGCCCAATGAACCAACGCACGGCGCGGCGTGGGGCACGCCCGCGAGCAGGGATCGCGCGGCGCGCTGGGCACGCTGCGTGCAAAGACCCGACGATAATCTCTCCGGAGGAGCCACTTTGTGGGCACCTCGTGCAACACGTTCAGAGAAGCCTGCCGACAGCGGCCAGCCTTGGCGTCCGACTTCGCCACGGCTGCCTCGTACTCCTGCGCGCCTTCCCCATGGGATCTCCCCGGAAACGCTTGCCCCTGCTGCAGCCACTCCCGCCGAGCTGCACGGCAGCATCTGCCGGGGGCGGCCAAGAGAGGGGGGGCGTCCAAGAGGAGGGGGGGCGCAGATCATGGCCGGCGGCATGTGCGCGGCCCGGGGGGGGGGGCGGGGCCAGGGACGCATTGAAACAAGAAGATGCGCCATGAAACACGGGGAGGATATCAGGCCCCCCGCCATGATATCCACCCCCCCCCCTCTCTGCCGCCCCCGAATCTGGGAGGACGGGCCCCCCTCCCAGGGCCGCCCGAGGCCTGGCTCGGAGGCCGCCCGAGCCCCAGCTCGGCATCCCCAAACGGCCTCTGGTGGACGACCCCGACGGGGCCCACCTCGGGCCCCCTCGACCCCAGATGCGCCTCCTGGAGCGCCCATCGGCCCCATGCGGCCCGAAGTACGGTGGAGGCATTGGGTAAGGAATGTGTCATTGTTTTTCTTATTGGGCAGCATAGAGGACCACTTCGTGACATATTCACCTGCACGTGGTAAGTATGTATACTACACTCGAGAGCTGACAGGTCACTAGTGCCTCGCTGTCACGCCGCCGCTGGGTAAGGAACCCTTAGATAAGGAATCCAGGGTCCGGAGGCCAGTGGAACTTCAATCGAAGCTTTGGTCATGGTTATCACCGCCGCCCTCCATCAGATAAGGAATCCTCCAGGGTCTGCAGCCTCCTGGGCGCACTCCTTCACCAACGCCCCCACCGTACCCGCTGGACTCGAGAAGGCCTCGCATGGCCCTCGAGCATGTCCCGGGGCCCCCTCGGAGCCCTGCAGGAAGGACTCTCGGGCCTCCCCCGGGCCCCAGACACCGTCACAGGCTGGTGGCTTGCGCCTGACAGACGCGGGCTCCTTGAGGGCCCCCGCAGAGCCGCAGAGGCTCGGACCTGTGCGCTGCCACCTCGCCAGAAGCGACGCTGGGGGTGGGGCGGAACGAGCGAGTGATGGCAACGATTGGCGAAACGCCCATTCCCAAATAAGCCCCCCCCTTCCCTCTGGCCGCGCCACGATTCGCGCAGAGGCTGTCAGGCTGACTCCCAGACGGCGACGGCGCGAATCGCGAAGTTGCCGTCCCCCTGCCCCCCCCCCCGGCAAAGGCCGCCATCGCGAGAAGATGAAAACAGGTGTTCAAAACATGGCGTGCGTTTTTGTTCAACCTGCTTGCCGATCGGCCTTTCAAGGGCCGCCCACCCCAGAACCCCGACGTCATCAGCTCTCAACCGTCCTGTGGTGTTGGGCATTCGCTTTGAAGAGGCAGCGCTTGCGTTCTCCTCATTCCTCCTCCCGCTGCCCCCTCCCTCCTCCCACCCCTGCCTTTGCCCTCCGCGTGCGTCTGCTTCGGCACACCCCGCATGACTACGTCGGGACGCCTCCAAGAGGGACACGACCGAATGAACCTTAACGTTGCCCCTGGCCTCCCCGCCCAACAAGCGAAGGGAGGATCTGGAAGCAGCCCGAGACATGCCAGAAGCGCGCAGACACACACACACATACACACACACACGCACACACATACATACACCCACACACCCGAGGCTCTTCGTGTGGCTTCTTCCCTGCTCCCTGCCGCAACCGCGGGTGGCACTGCGCGGTGCCCTGGAGCGCACCGTGCCCCGAGGAGAGCACCCGCTTCGAGCTCCGCCGCAACACGCACACACACACGCGCACACACACACACACACGCACGCACACACGCACACGCACACACACACACGCACACGCACACGCACACGCACACGCACACGCACACGCACACGCACACGCACACGCACGCGTACACGCACACACACACACACACACACACACGCGCACACACACAACGAACAAAAATACACACACACACACGCACACACACACACACACACCTTGAGACTCGGTTATGGCCATGCGGGTCAAAGAAAACAGAAGGGCAAGGCCACCAGGGGGGGGGGACTGGGGCTCCCAAAGCGGTGCGGTGACAGATCTTGCGGTGACCTCGGAATCCCCAAGGACCTCACCGCACGGTCCGTCACCGCACCGTTCTGGAACCCCAGAGGCCTCACTCGCCTGAGAAATCCGCGGCGGCTGACCCAGATTCCAAAACCGTCCGGTCACCCCGTATCACCTCCGACTCACCACAGTGTGATCACCGCACAACTTGGACACCCCGCGCCATAAACCATACGTGTGGACGCCCGACATGTACGGAGAAACTGGGCGCGATGCCCAACAGCAAACGTCGTCCAACACCGACAGCGGCCGCCTCTGGGCAGGCGATTCCTTGTCTCTCATCAGCAACGTTCACGGAGACGGCGACAGCGAGTCCCGTTCGAAATGGGCAAAGCACTGCTCTCGGTCTTCGTTGCAGTCTCTTCCTTGCCAAATGTCGATCGCACCGAACAGGGAAAGGGCACGCCTGGATCACCATCCGCAGCCCGACTGCGGCGCCAGCGCCAGCGGCGCTCTCCTCCGCCTGCGCCGCGGGGCGGGGGGGGGGGGGGGACGGCGCGGCGTGCGCGCCGGGCCGCGTGCCCCTGGCCCACCCCCCGCTCTGCCCCGCAACTGCTGCTGGGCTCGCGCGGGGTGCGAGCCCGGGGGCCCAGACATCCTCGGTCGGCAGGGTCTCGGGTGCGAGCTGCGGCGAGGCTATACACCAGGGCGCAGGCGAAACGAGCCGAGCTCGGCACGAGGAGGCGTCGCGCCCCGCAGTGCCGTCTGTTGAGCAGGGGCCGACCTTCCCGGTGTTCCTATAGTCCTACCACAGAATGTTCCTAGAACCGAAAAATGTTCGAATAACACAAACAATGTTCTTAGAACATTAACCCGATGTGTTACACCAAGACAGTCCCAACCAGAAATGTTCTAAGAACATGTCGTGGAAACCACAAAAGGTTCTTAGAACATTGTTTGCTAGGGCTATAGGCGAGCCAGGACGCTTCGCCACTGCTTGAGTCTGGCCCCCCCCCCCCTATAGTGGGGGCCGCAGGGACGGAACTCCGAGCTCGTAACCCACCAAGGGGCAGCATCTGTAGCCTGCACTGCCCGGCGGCCAAAGACCACCGGAGGCGTTTCCGACTGCACATGCAGTACCCTGCGCGGATGTTTGCCCTGCCCAGGAGTCTGTAGACGGAGTGGGACGAGACTTGCTGCTGCGTCAATTACCCTAGGCGGCGCCATCGGTACATACGCATCTGTTGTTCACCGCTTTAGCTGCAGGCTGTTGGCAGCCAGGCAGTGTGCGGACCGGGCACCCTGCAGGCAGGGGAAGGCAGGCAGGAGGGCCGCAGGGCGGCCCTGGCGCCCCCAGAGCGTGGAGAGCACCGCGGGGTCGTGCCAGCGGCGGGCTCACGGCGGGGCTCGTCGCAGCAGGGGGGCGGGGCCGGGGCCGCAAGGAGCCACAGGGAGGCCGGAGAGCCAGCGCACGGGCACGCGAAGACAGGGTCTTTCGCGGCGTTCGGCCTCTGGGGGGCCTCGCTGGGCGCCCCAGGGGCGTCCAAAGGCGGGTCGGGAAGAAAAGCTGGAAGCGGGTCGGGCTTCCGGGAGACCCCGTAGAGGATCATCCTGGCGAAGGAACCAGACATGTGCGAGCATGAGTACCGCCAGGCAGGTGAGACGAAGGAAGGGGAACTCGCGATGGCATGAAACGCGTGACGGGGGCGCTGGGGGAGACCCAGACGCATGTGGACGCACCCACTTTCCTCTGGGGCCTTCGATGGAGCTCCCTGCAATCGGACTTAGGCCAGAAGAAATCCTTCAAGACCATGAGACCCCCCATTCTTCACGAACATGAGACCCTCTGCCGGCCAGAATGACGAGTATTCGAAGGTACCCTCCCCCAGGATGTACAAAAAACGTCCGACAAACACGAAGAACATGAAAGTTCCCTCCCCGAACCGACCTCGATCTTATACCTCTGTCCGACTGGATAGGGCCACGAACCGTGTCAAGCAAAATCACCATTATGGACAAGATCTCCTCCATCCGTGCGGGTTTGTTTTTTGATGACTGCGCGGGAAGCCGAAGTGGTGAGACATGTTTGAAACGATTTCGCGGGGCACCGTTACAAACACCACACTTAAGAAACAAGCAGCCCTGCATCCGCGTAACTGCTGACGCATAGCTTCACCATCGTGAACGGTGATGACATAGCAAGCAAAAGACCAGGTCCGCCCCGACGAAACGTCTGGTGGTGCGACTCGGAACAATATTCGGCGGTGGACAAAGCTCCCTTTAGTAAACCTCCCTTTAGTGAGAACGGCCTAAGACCGAAACCAACGGACCTTGACCCGCAAAGATAACGGCCGCGACGCCTCTCGCGAACAGAAAACGGCTAATTCACTAATCGACGTGTAAGGGTAGGTCTTTCAAGCTCCGAAACTTGTGGAAGGGAGAGGGATGGAGGAGACAAGGCAAGACACAAGACCTTGGGATTTGCAGAGTGTCAAGTCGAGAGCTAGCGAACTGATAGTGTCCATACAGACAGCATGCTCCAGCTGGGATGGACGAGGCAGAGGCCGAGGAGAAGAAGAATAAGAACAATAAGAATGAGGAGAGCGAGAGGAGAGGGATGAAGGAGAGGTGGAAAGGATGTGGAGGAGGACGCACCTCTCCTCCTTCACCCCCTCCCCGCCCACCCCCATCGCCGTCCACGCTGCCCCCCTCCCCCTCCGCAGACGACGGCGACGCTCACGTTGAGGCCGACGCCGGCGACAACGCATACGACAACAACGACGGGAGGGCAGGAAGGTACCGATACCTGCGCCATCGCTCGGACGTTCACTCTGGGTGATTTGTGTTGGTTTCGTGCGTGCAATTCTTTCGCACGGTGAACAACCCTGCTCCTCGATGGTCTCCTTGCTAGAAGAGACTCGACACGTCCGAGCGATGCCAAAGACGGCTGCGCCCCCCCGACCTCTTCCGTGACACGTCCTGGCCAGGCCCCCGATGCGCACCCAGCCGTGGCCACGAGGGCCCGCGGGGGCGAGCAGCGGCATCGGCATCCCAGGCTGGCGGTGTATGGGCAGACGGTCCGGAATGGTTTGCCTCGCGCGTCGGCGTCGCCGCGGCTGCGGAGCGGCTGCCCGCTCGCTCGTGTCGCTCGCCTGTTCTTCTCCCGCTGCCTCGTCGCGGCCCGACTGGTGTTTCGGACGGCCTTCGACCCGCCCCGCGAGCCTGCTGACCCAAAGGTGTCGCCGCGGTGGCCCTGGGGAGCAGAAGAAGGGAGGAGAGAGAGTCAAGAGAGGGAGAGAGAGAGAGAGAGGGAGAGAGTCAAGAGAGAGGGAGAGAGAGAGAGAGAGAGAGGGAGAGAGTCAAGAGAGAGGGAGAGAGGGGGGAGCAGAAGAGAGGCGAGATCACGAGAGGAAAGGGGGACGGAGTTCGGCAGCACACGGGCGGGAGCGTGGAGTCAAGGAGTCGGCCCGGGGGACACGCCGTGCCCTGCGAGTGGATGGCGCGTCGCCCCCGCTCCGCGGGACGGGGAGACGGGAGGATCGGGGAGACGTAAGACCCGGGTACGGGGGACTCGGAAATCCCCGACGAGGTCGTCAAAAAAATGACGAGGCCGAGCCTGCATTTTGACGAGGCCTCCCGCTGCAGACATCCCACAAAACTCCTCCTCGTCAAAATCCGAGTCGCGGTCGTCAAAAAACGATGGCGAACCCGAGTCCTGGCAAACCCGGGTCTTACGCTCCCCCGAGAGGAGCTCGGGGCGTGGACGCTGGGGTCAGGTCGGGCGGGCGTGTCCCCCTACAGTCGGAGGCGTTGACCCGAGGAACCCAAAATAAGGAAGGAGGCCCTTTCTTCCCATAAGTTGAACTTCGAAATTTCCTACCGAAAACCTCAGGAACACCTGAGGCAAGCTGCGAAACACTTAAGGGACGCGGAGCCCCTCCCAAACGAAAAGGGTTCCTTCTTCAGGGCCCCGACTGTACAGGCGGATCCTGGGCAGAAGCTCAAAAATTGCCAAAAGAACGACATGCAAAAAAACTATATAAAAAAGGCTTGCAACATCCTCCACAAAACATTGTTTGACTATTCTTGAACATTCCTCCTGTAGAGGGCCATGCCCGACTTCAGGCTGGGTGGGGCGGGGGCGTGGACAGCGTGTCCGCGCCGCAGCGAGGTGGGCCGAATCCGGCGGCGCGGCACGCCATCCCAAAGAGAGCTCCCGACCGCAAACCGGTGCCGCCACTGCATCGAGGCCTCCTAGACTTAGGTCGGGCCTGCTCCCCTACAGGGGGATCTTGGGCGAAAAATCTAACAAATACTCAGAACATACCCCCAAATAGTCAAGACATACTCAACACATAGTCCCCAGACTATGCTTGTAAACTATCTTTGGACATTCCCCCTGTAGAGGGACAGGCCCGACTTCATCCTAGGTGGGGCCCGAGCAGGTGGGGTCGGAGGATCGCGTCGCATCGGCGATGCATCGGCGACGTCGGCGAAGCATCGGCGCACCTGGCGTGGAGAAGATCGGGCTGCACATCGAGCCGCATCGCTGACGCACCGACGATGCGGCGCGATCCTCCGCCCCCATCTACTCTGGCCCCACCTGAGCCACGATCAAAGACGGATCTTACGCGAGATGACACAGCGACCTTGCGCTGCAGCCTGCGCGGGCCGCCCGCGCGGCACGCTGCGCTGGAGACGACGGCGCTTACGCAGGCAGCTTACGCACGAATGTCGGCGCAGACGCCCCCTTTCTTTCCTCGCCCATCTAGGGTTACGTCGGGCATGTCCCCCTACAGGCGGATTTGGGCCGATGCAGAATACCCCCAAAACGCTCCAGAATAGTCACGAAGACCGCCCAAATCGTCCCCGCTCAATGTTTTGAACTGTTTTTGGCTACTCCTCCTGTAGAGGGACGTGCCCGACCCAAAGCTGGGAGGCCTATACAGATCGGCGGTGGACAAACCTCCCTTTGGTAAACCTCCCCTTGAATGAGGACGGCCTGGGACCGCAATCGACGGACCTGGACCCGCAAGCATGACGGCCGCAACGCCCTCTCGCGAACCGAAAACGGCCCATTCTCTAATCGACGTGTCAGGGTAGGAGGTCTGTCCACCTCCGGTTAACATGACAGAAGCCAGATGTGAGAAAACAGGACAGACTCCGCCAGAAATGGTCTAAGAACATTTCGTGGCAACCACAACAAGTTATTAGAACAGGGTAGGAGGCCTATCAACCTCCGAGTAACGCCCCCCCCCCCTGGGCCTCGGACGGGGTGCGTGCGTCCGGCCTGGGGGCCTCGTCGCGGCGAGCGCGCCCCGTGGCGAGGCGAGGCCGCCCTCTCTCCCGAGAGAGGGCGCCCTCCCGAGGGCGCAACAAAAACGCGCGACGGGCACTGGCACAAGGGAGGAGGGAGGAGGGAGGAGGGAGGAGGAGGAGGAGGAGGAGGAGGAGGAGGAGGAGGAGGAGGAGGAGGAGGAGGAGGAGGAGGAAAACACCACCGAGGAGGAGGAGGAGGAGGAG